AAGAAATAGAACGAGCCATAGAAGAGGCTCTTGCAGTTGCAGGCTCGTAGTTTGTTTCAGAATTGCATTTTTTGCGTAATTTGAGTATCGTATGGTGGTGGTGAACTAGAGGAAAAAGCCAGCGACCAGCTATGAGCACCGAACAGCCTCCTCCTTCATCTGCTTCTTCAGTTCCAAGTCTAATTATCCCTTCTTCGTCTCCTTCTTATCAGCTCTGCAAGGGCGTCAATGGCCTTGAGAAGGTCCTTCTTCGTGAGTCCCGGGGCAGCTCCGCTGAGGTTTTTTTTTCGTCTTCCATTTTCTCTTGAGTTCATCTATTTTTCTGTCTCTTATGATTGTCTGTTTCTGTAATATCTGCATCTGCTCAATTTCTAGTATGATGTTAAGGTGCTTGAACTGATCCGATGCTTGATTTTGCTTTATTGGTACGGATTCATGCATTCCTTCAGATTCCTGATTATCTGTTGTCATTTTTGGTTTCCCGATGTCGTATTCAGTCCAATTTTGTGCTCTTCTCAGTCGGAGAGTGCCGATCAATTAGGATCAGGATTTCCCTGTGATATCTGTCATTATAGTTGGACAACTAATAAAATGTTCACTGCGGCGACATTTTTATTTCATTGATCGTGGCTTTCAGGTGTACTTATATGGTGGTCATGTGACCTCTTGGAAGAATGACCATGGGGAGGAGCTGCTTTTCCTCAGTAGCAAGGTCAGTACTCGATTGTTTTTTATTTCGTCACTCGCATAAAAACTGTTAGCTGTTCCTAATCTTATACTTCAGATCTCACCATTTGAGTGAGGATTTGCCAATTCAATTTCCCCTCCTTATGAGCATCTTCAGTCAGAGTATAAGATGAAACGGCTTTTCAGATAATATTCAATAGCTGCAAGATTATGAAATGCTGTCATCTCTTGATGCTAATACGACAATCCCATTTCAAATAATCTTTGCGTAGATCTTAAGTTCTGAACATCCACTGGCAGCTACATCACAAGTTAGGAGTTGATGATATGCTGCAAGCCATGCGTGAAAGGCAGTTAGGATTTTATCTGATCATTTTTTTTTTTTAAACGGAGCTTTTGACAGAGCTTCCTTCAATTTTCTTTATCAAAATTTACTGCAATTATTCTAAAATATTGTATTAGCGGTTTTCAGCTTCAGGAATGCCTCAAACAAAATGAATAAAATGCCTTTTATCTATTTTCGTCCAAATGTATACAGTGATATCAGTTATATACACTTGTGTCCTTCCTAGTTAATGTGTAATGTTATAGGACTATGCATTTGAAATTTAATATTCTGGCTGTTGTCTAAGCATATTAAGGAATTTTGTGGAATGTGGAGAGCCACTAGATCTACAAATTGTGTGCTAACATCCAGTTAATGACTCCATGACTGGAATCCAAGATAGATAAATAACCTCTATTAGGAGTCATTCAATTTGTATCTCTTGATGGAGTGTTATCATGTTCCTTTTACAGGCTATATTTAAGCCTCCAAAGTCCATTCGAGGAGGGATTCCAATATGCTTTCCTCAAGTAAGTATTTCTTCGGGATATATAGTTCCCATAATTGCTTTTGTTGTGACAATGCCATTTGGGAGAGGAGGAAAACGTGGAGGACGGGTAGAAAAGTTAGCAGATAAAATTGATAGATGCAGTTTTAAGTTTTAATATATATGTAAACATAAAACTTAAGCTCTGGCATACACTAAATGATTCTGTTATTAAGTTCCTAATAATCATGATTTTACCATAGCAAGAAACCCTAACATCATCTCTAGGAATCTTTTTTTTTTTTTGGGAAATTCATGGATAACCCATAGTAGGATACCCTGTTGATGAAATTCCTGGAATATTGTGAAACTCTAACGTCACAATTTAAGTCACTATCTTTGAAACTATGTTGAAATCTTTAGTAGCTATTAATGCAATTGAAAGTCCTAGTTTCTAATCTGAATATAGAGATAAATGTTTTTTAAATTCCCTTCTTCAAAATGCTTTATAATGATTATTAAATTCCTAATGACATGTTCAAGGAAACTTGCACTGTAATTGCAGTTTGGAAACCATGGTACACTTGAGCAGCATGGATTCGCAAGAAACCGGTTCTGGGCCATTGACACTGATCCTCCTCCTTTCCCAGCAAATACCTCCAGCAAGGCTTTTGTTGATTTGATCCTTAAACCCTCTGAAGAAGATGCAAAGATTTGGCCTCACAGGTATATATAGAGAGGGTAGAGACTTTCAGCACTATGTTGATGTTTAGGATCACATGCTTTTTACTGCTTTTCTTAATTTTTCGCTATTTGGATTTCTAATTTACAGCCTTTCTGATGTTATATGTTTTTCTGTTTGGATTTAGTTTTGAATTCCGTCTTAGGGTAGCTCTTGGACCAGGAGGAGACCTGATGTTAACATCTCGGATTAGGAATACAAATCCTGATGGGAAGCCATTTTCATTCACATTTGCTTATCATACATATTTCTCTGTGTCAGACATAAGGTAGGTAAAGTGCTTGAAACAAGTTTTCCTTACTCCTCTATATTATTGTTTTTATTTAGCATGTCAAATTTTACAAATCACTCTGTCACTTTGTTCAGTCTGCTTCTGTGGAAAGATTGTTTATGAATATTGTGCTGAAACTTATTGAAGTGTAAACTCGTAATTCTTAGTTGTTATAGGTGTTCAGAATGTAGGTCCAAATGCTTGTCTCATCCCACTTGTATTCCAAGAGTGAATTTTATGATAAAAGCTGAGTTCAACCACTAGCTTATAAGTCTTGGCAGGGGGATGAGGTTGGTTATATTGTATGGGTGCCTGATTGAACTCCCTGTACTTTTCTTCTTGTGTCTTGGTATTCTTGAAAGTAACTTTCAGTCAAGAGCTAAACAATATCAGTATTAAAAGGCGAAGAAAACCATATCATTTTATAACCTGGGTGTAGTTCAGCAATTTTTTTAGATCTGTCGCAGGCTTAAGATGTGAAATTTTGTCAAGAAACTTTTAAAGCTAGTTTTGGTTTCAACTTGTCATATTCTTTATTAAATGAAGGTCCCTAGTATTGATATGCATATTTGGAAATTTCGTTGACGTCAAAATAATTTGCAATTGCAACTTCTGGGATTAAATTTGCGGCATTCAAATCCTATAGCTCTGTCAATGTAAATTTTCAGTATTATACACTTGAACAAAAATGTTCCTTATATGTTGTGAAATATTCAAGCAGGCTATTGTTAATTTATCAAAATTTACCTGATGAATTTTATTTGATTCTGTATATATATGTTTTGTTATGTTTTTTTTTTTTTTAATTCTAATTTAACTTAATCACTCTTCATATATTTACCTTCTTTTTAATCTCAGGAATAGATATATTTGTGGCTAGCAGTTGACTTGCTTCTTACTAGTTCATTATTTGCTTGTATTCAGTGAAGTTCGGGTTGAGGGATTAGAGACGCTGGATTATCTTGACAACTTGCAGAACAAGGAGCGTTTTACTGAACAGGGGGATGCTTTAACGTTTGAATCTGAAGTAAGTTGTTTTCTCCCCTTCTGCAAAGTTGAAGAGATGCAAAAATGGGTCCTGTTTAGTGCTGATCACTCTCAGAGCCAACTGCCTGTGACCTGGAAGCTGGTTGCAGCAGCTCTATCTTGATTTTTTTTTTCCCCTTGATTTTCCTTTCTTTCATATCACATGTGTATTCTTTTCTCAACCACTGCTCATTGTCCACGATAGCTCAACTCATGCCTCCCATTCCATGCGTGGACATTGGCTGCAGCCAGCCCGTAATCATTTTTATCTTAATTTTTTTAGAAGGAAAACCCTTTTTGCATATATCTGTACCCACTTTGCCTATCGGTATGTAATAAGTTTTGATTTTATGGCATTTCTTGGCATCATAGGTGGACAAGATATATCTCAGCACTCCCACAAAGATTGCAATTCTTGATCATGAGAAAAAAAGAACATTTGTGCTACGTAAAGATGGACTTCCTGATGCTGGTGAGTATTATCAAGTAGAGAAAAAGAACGAAAAAGTAATTTGAATGAGATCATTTACTTACTAAGCAAGGCTCCTTGTCTATCCATTTATAATCATTAATTAGGTTAAGCACACTGGCAGTGCAACTAGGAAGAGTCCAAACTATGAGTATCAGCACATTTATTTTAGCTTAGTCATCATGTACTCACACTATAGCACTCGGCCGGCTGAAGTTTGTCAAACTTTAGCTTCTTCCAAATAGATTATAGCAATAAATTAAATTGAAACAAACATATCCAGACTTGTAAACCTAAACACTTAGACAAAGCATCGTGACTCGTGGTATCAAAACTCCAGTTAAAAAATTTAGCAACCAACACTTTCTCTGGCAACATTCTTTCCAGGCAAGCATCTCCCCAGATTCTGACCTGCTTCCTATGAACAACTCTCTTAGCTGTCTTCTAGGAGAACAATCGACCTAACTCTTAGAAATCTTTGACCTGCAATACATGATAAAAGCTTTAGAAATAAATTGACCAACAGAATTCATTCAGCCATTGCATTTGCATACGCTTCCCTATTTATAAAAGAGGTGTGGATAGGTTTCCTAACAATATCTTGCTTAACTACCTCTTGCACTAATTCCCTAGCTAACTACCCTTAACCCCCCTTAAAATCAACATGACAACCTACTTCTCCTAGGTAGTCCCCTCTACTTTTGTTGCAGACCAAGGCATCCAACAGAAGGCTACTCTATCGCTAAAGCATTTTTTATGCCACACGCCAAAATCTCAAAGCATGATATTCAAGAAATTGATCTAAGTAAATTTAGTTTGGATTAAGATTATCCTGTGATTCTATCTTATCTATGATTATCTTATTTAGGAATGTTTTAGATTTTAGGGTTGATACAAACTTTGGTCCTTTAAATTTGTCCTCATTTTGGTTTTGGTTCCTCAAATTTCAAATCATGTTTCTTTTTATTTAAAACATTGGTCCTTATAATCCAATAAAAACTTGGACCATTTTGCCCCTTAAGGAACGAAAACCTATGATTTGAAACTTGAGAGACCAAAACTAAAATGAGGGCAAATTTGATGGACTAAATATTATCTTAACCCTAGATTTTATTATTTATCTTTATATTATCTTTTTTAATTGATTTAGATTAGATTTTATTATTTTAGATAATAATAATGGGGGTCTTTAAATAGCCCTAAGCTCTAAGTTGTTAGGCCATTTTGATGAATTGGATTAAGATGAGAATTTTGTGTGCACTCTCCCTCAATTTCGTTACTTCCTTCTTTCTTTTATCTCTCCTCCTTTTCTCTTCGCCCCCTCCTCCCTCTTCCCTGTTTCAATCAGCTAGTGTAGCCAATTGTGACCAAAACACTTATTTTAAAATAGCTATCACATATTTACGCTGTTCCAACAACATCGTAGCCCAAGTTAGTTGTATTTATAAAATTTACTGGCTGGTGATTTCTCCTGTCAAATATTTATATTTGAAGAATCAAACAAAAATCCTGTTTGAGGATGCGGCAACAAGAATTTGAAGAGCTTACTTGGGAATAAATAAATTAAGGATGTTTAATTCAACAGTTTAGGCTAGAATAGGGAGAGTGGAATTTTTTCTTTTCTTTTTTTTGGACGGGGGTTTTGGATTTTAGGATCGAACTGAAAAAATTTTGGGGATCTCACATTTTGAGATGGGGAGTTCAGTCTGAGAAAGGGGTTGGAGATTCTGATGTGATAGTGAAATTTGGGAGAAAATGGGGAATTAGATAAGATTTGAGGATGGGCCAAGAATTGTGTGTTTTGGCAGGAAAGAAAGGGTTGAATTATATGAGATGGAATTGTAATAAATTTTGGAAAACTTGATAGGACTTTTATTTTTATTTTTATTTTTTTTGGGGGGGGGGGTTCATAATATTTAATAAAATTAAACTGTGGGATAATTTTGTGCTGACAGAACCAAACTCAGGGTAGTGGAATATTAACTTGTCAGTCACAGCGCAAGGAAGTGAAAATAGCTTGAATCACATGGGTGAAATTGGGTTGAAATCATACTATGAAGGAGCTAAGGGGATATAAAAAAATATGGAATACCAGAATGGAACACTAGCCTTCAATGACCAAAATAGGGAATTTTGAATATTTTACTGTAGTTCATAGATACGTAAATAGACTCGCTTGGAGGAGTTTTCTGCTTTTCATCTTCATCTCTGCGTTATCGGTTTCAAGCATAGCACTGCTTACATAAGCTAAATGATGACGTTTCTACGATTTAAACTTGATACATTTGATGCCATGATCTGAAATGTTTATTGAGTTGAAATTTTACGACATGAGGTTCCGAAATGCCATCCCTGAAAAAAAAAAAAAAATGGTAGTATCTGAAGAACAAAAATGATAGCTTCATCTGACACAACAGCTTTGTCTACTAAGTAGTCTATTTCGTAAACTTTGCAACAATTGAATTGTATGCCCCCACATTTAAGAATTGTAATTATAAAAATATGGTTTGCTTTCTAGAGTTTGATGTTTGAAATTGTTTTCACTACAGTAGCTGTTGATATAACTCTCTCTCTCTCTCTCACACACACACACACACACAAACACGCCTATTTCATATATGCAGTGGTATGGAACCCCTGGGATAAGAAAGCAAAGGCTATGGCTGATTTTGCGGATGATGATTATAAACATATGCTTTGTGTAGAGGCTGCTGCTGTTGAAAAATCTATCACTTTAAAACCTGGTGAAGAATGGAGAGGGAGACTAGAGCTTTCGGCCGTTCCCTCTAGTTATTGTAGTGGGCAATTGGATCCTCAGCGAGTTCTTCAGGGAATCTGAAAGATCCATTACTTTGTCCTACACGGTAATAATGGTTCTTGTGTTTTGGCAAAAGTACCGGTAATCATAGTTGATCAATAAATGTAAATATTTTTTTTAACGTACAATATTAATGAATCACAAAAGCTTTAGCGGGACATTGCCATGCCTTGGAAAATCTAAATGTAGCGAGGAGAAATTCTGATTTCAATTATTTGTCTTCATTGTTTGACATGGTTCTTTATTATAATGAAGTTATGAACAAATACTTGGAAATATACTTTCATAATGCTGGTGTGTTTTCATCGAATTCCAAATTTTTCAGTTGTTTAATATGATACATATCAATCCATTTTTACTCTGGAATTCGGCTCTCATTGGACAGTGGAGCGGTCTTCAGTTTATTATAGAGTGGTCTTCAGTTTCGTTGCTGCGCTTTGATATTTGGAATTTGATATCTGATTGGGTCAGCTACTGGGAAATCTATTATTTACTCTGGTTTTAATCGGATTGCTCAATTTTGAAACCACACCCCCCCCCCCAAAAAAAAAAGAGAAAAGAAAAATGGGATTGATCACTGCTCAGCTGTCCTTTCCGCGTGCACATGCTACTGTGTAACTAATTAGTTTCGTCAGACTTATTCTGCAGGTATCTTGTTGGGACACGGATGGATCACGACAGGAAAGTTTCTCCTGGCGCTTACCTCCTTCATGTTCCAATTGAACCTGTGTTGGACGGATACAAATGGTGAATAGCATTTTGTTAGTTAATATTTTGCCTGTAATGATGGATGACTAGTTTGATCATGGCGAATTGAAACTGAAACAGCATATAACAGAATTGTCGTCAGTTATTGTCATGGCAGATTGAAATTACAGCCTAAATTCAACAGATTTTCATGTTGAATTCAGTGGCGCAGAGGGATTACTTTTTGAATCCGCTTCTTAGCTTGGGTTTTTGGACCCCCCCATAAATTGTTTATTTCTACATGTTCTAGGCTACTGTATTCTTGAAGCATATCTTATAATACACAAGGGTTTGTACAAGAACTGTTGACTGGTTATATATGAACTATTTCTGCGTTGTGCTATTACATCACTCTCTTTTGCCATTTTTCGCCTTTTTCTGGAGTTTAGCTTCGGTTATTGAGGTTGTTATATATATATATATATATATATATATATATGAGATATAAAAGCGTTCCTAGTATTATACACTCAATGAATACTGACTAATGAGTGTGTTCGCCGATTAGCTAAACCGCAAGCGGACGGATCGTAATTAATATAAAAAGTATCGTTCTCTAAGAGACCAAGGCTAGATGAGTTAAAAATCATAAATGTGTTCTTGATTAGGTTAAGTGAGATAAATATTGTAAAAGAGTTGTGAAATGAAATTAAGAAAATAATGATTTAAGGTAATATAAAACGGTTAATACAAATTTTGGTATTGGTCTCTGAAATTTTAAATGTGTGGTATTGGTCCCTCAAATTATTTTCGTTTGAGTCCGTTGGTCCCTGGGTTACTGACATCGTTAAAATTGTCTGATGTGGTATTAACACCATTAATTGCTGAGGTGGACATATTAACTGGCTTATGGACATATTAATTGGCTTATATGTGGCATATGACTTGGACATTAAAAAAAAAAAAGAAACTCGATGCAAGCAAAATCAACATGCACGCACTGTTGGACACTCACTAAACACACACATACAGACCCACACCACAAAAGCAAATTACGCACAGGAACACTGGAAGGAAAAAGAAGGGGGAAGGGGTTCAGACGAAATCTCCACAAGAGAAAGAAAAAGGGACTGGGGGGGACTAAGGGGTTCAGATGAAATCTCCGTTAGTGTAGGCAACAAAGATTTGATGTGCAAGTATTAGTTTATTGAGGACAAAGATACGGCGAAGGCAACATAGATCTCATGAAGGTGACGAAGATTTGGCAGAGGCGAGGAAGGGTAAGTTGTTGGTATAAGTTTTCAATTTTTGCAATATCTCTCCATCTTGTCTTCTACCCATCTTCAACATCTAATTCAACTTAGGTTGTGGTGAGACCGAATGGCTTCTAGTAGGAATTCGTTGGCATTGACTGTGGGTAGAAAGATGGGAAAAAAAGGATGTGAAAAATGCAGATGCGGGGATGATATTGTAGTCTTCACTTCATGGACTGAACAAAATTATGGTAGAAGATTTCTTAAGTGCTCAAATCACAAGGTTAGTTGGTGAAAAAAATTTTCTGTCGCATTTGATTGAGTTCCTAAATGTGTGAATTTTTATATTTGTTTGAGTTCCTGGATGTGTGAATTTTTGTATTTCAGGAGCAATGGTCATGCAATTATTTTGATTGGATTGATGCACTGGTTGAGAATCCAATGTTGGAGGAGTTAAAGAAGATGAAGAAAAATAGTGATGATATGAGAAGAAGGATGAAGAAATTGGAACGTGTTATATTTGTAGTTGTTATGGTGAATGTAGTGTTGTTCTGTAAATTGCTGATGTAGTAGAAATTCAGTAGGATGCTTCTGTTCGAAAAGATTGCTGGATAAAGAGGACAAGACTTTCAAGCAATACATTTAAAGGTTGATCTTTGCATGACATTGTAGCACTTACCTTTCAACCAGAAAGCTACGAACACAATGGTTATCTACGGTTTCTTCCTCACCTTTCAACAGACAGAAGCAAGTGAAAATAGCTTATACAACTTCTTCCCATGATGGCCACCGGTGAACTCACTTTTCTGGCGATGGCCACGTCAGTAATTGCCGACACAAGTGGGTCCTCTTGACCTAGCCCTTTCCCCTTTTTTTCCCCTTCCAGTGGCACGCGTTTTGCTTTTGTCGTGTGCGTCCGTGCGTGGGTGTTTAGTTAGTGGCCGTCCGTGCGTGTTGATTTTGCTTGCATGTGGTTTCTTTTTCTTTTTTCTTTTTTATGTCCAGGTCATATGCCACATTTAAGCCAGTTAATGTGTCCACCTCAGCAATTAACGGTGTTAATGCCACATCAGACAATTTTAACAGTGTCAGTAACCCAGAGACCAACAGACTCAAACGGAAATAATGAGGGACCAATACTGCACGTTTAAAATTTGAGGGACCAAAATTTGTATTAACCCTAATATAAAATCAACTTGACTTTGAAACAATTAAGGGACTAGGGTTATTTTTCACTAAAATACTTTATAAAAATGGATTAATCACTTCTCAAGTAGTACTTAATAATAAGTTTAGTTAGTCGGGGTTCACAGAATTGATTAAGCTTTCTCAAGTCAAAACCAAATGTTTGCATTCACAATAAGACATAGCAATCTCTTGCATTTGTTTGAAAAGGTTGCACTTTGTAAACCAAAACCCATTTAGTCTATGCTAGGTTAACAGATACATCTTCGTTCTATTAACAAACTGTCTATTTACTCAGTTAAATTTTCAAACTAGTATGTTTTTACCAAAGTTCACAGATTAACTTAACTTTCTCAAGTTTAAACTAATCAAACAATCAATCCAAATGATGGCCAGATACAAGGAAGCATTAAGCTCAAGGTAAAAACAACTGAACATTATCATTAATACTCAAGAGTCAAGAGATAGTAAAACCAAGTCTCAATCCATAAAATAGATCAAAATAACCCTAGAAAAACTGATTTAGCTATACATGTTTAGTAAGAAGCTACAACTATAAGAATAGCTAGTAGTCATTACAGAAACAAGAAGGGAAGAAGAAGGAAACCCAAAAAAATCGAGTGAAAAACTTTGAATTTCTTTTAGCTTCGAGCCCAAAGTTTTCAAGCCTCCAAACCTCCAAACCCTAGCAGAGCAAGCCTCCAAAATCTCCCCAAAGTTGAAGTGTCCTTTGAAAAACCGAGTCTCCCCATGTACAAGTCCTAATTTTTAAGTTATATCATAAAACGCACAGCTACGAGGGGTTAGGTGCCGTGATAGATGTGGTAATCTGCTGCGGTGGATATCACAGAATGGGCATCACTTGTAAAGAGTTGGGCGCCGCGGAGGATGTGATCAGGCTCCGCAGCGCATTACACAGAATAGGCATCCCTTGGGTCAGATGAGGGCGCCGCAGCGGTTGTGATCAGGCGCCGCGGCGCCTTACACAAAATTGCTTCCCTTGCTTTCTGTCTGAGCCGCCGTGGCATTTGGCTTCATGCGCCACGACGGTTTGTCTTTGTTTAGGCTCTCTACTTCTGATCTCTCTTCCTTACTTGCTTCAGACTCTTTTCCTGCAAAGTTGACTTCCAAAACAAATAAAAAAGCGCTAAAACAAGTTGAATAAGTAGAAGTTTTGAGAGGTTATCAAAGTGGTAATGTAGGATCGTTGACCGGCATGTAATTCCACTTTAGGAAGGCTCTATCCCTGTAAATTTTGTTTCACTGCGAATGGCCTAAAGAACGAATATAGTATGAATATGATGGGGTAAAAAGGGAGAGGATGGAGCATATTTATTGGAACATGATAAATATGTCTTTTCCGGTGAATAAATAAAGTAAGTATGATAAATACATGGTCAATATATTATCTTTTCATATTAGAATAATAACTCAGTTAAATTAGCTCAATTAGCAGGTGAACAGATTGCATTAACCTAGGGATTTAAAAAAACAGGTGAGAAAAGTATAATTTACCTCGTAGACTGTAAAATCACTTCTGAAACTATAGTTTGGTTTCCATCCAAACACCTCCTTACTTTTTACTCTTAAGGAAAAAGCGGTTTGCAGTGTGATTTTATATGAATTTGTGCATGTTTGGATAACGATTAGAAGTCTTCGAAGAGAGTTGGGATAAAAAAGATTAGTTAAATAAAAAAATTATGTTTGACATGATTTTGTTGACAAGTGACTTTTTTTGAAACAATGTTTTCTACTACTTCCGGTCCTAATTATAAAAGCTTGCTGACTAATTTGAGGAGATCAAGAAAGTAAGTTGAGTTAGTTATTTGTCCTAAATAGGTGTTATCTTTCCTAAAATATTCTTACTAATCAAGTGTATTGACTAGAACTCTTATTATTAGAAAGGCTACTTTGGAAAAAAATGTATAAATATGAGAGACAAAGTGGATTAGAGTCTTATATTTAGGATTAAAATAAAAGTCAAACAAGATTTTATGCTAAAGACCGGAGGTAGTACCTTGTAAGCTTTGGCTTTTGGCTTTTCTTCAAACTTGAACATTCTCAAACTGATTTTTCAATATATAACCTAAATAAATTTCTGTCAAATTAACTTTTATAAAAGTATGTCCAAATATAAATAGTAACCCCAGCTTTAACTTGCAAACATTAGTTGAGATAAAAGTCACTTTTTTTTAACAACAATACAAAAAAATGTGAATGGGAAAATAATGACAAGATGGTAAATATGTAATATGAATATGTCCAAAAAAAATTTTACTTTTTGGTTGTTATATTTCGCTAATAAGTGGTGTGTGTCACTCCTGTTCTTGTGTTTGTTTATCTCTTGCAGATGTTGCTCCTTCATCATATCTTGTCAGCTACCTCCTTAAGCACTGGCCTTGCTATTTGTTCTTTGGCACATCTCAGTTTTGACTTTCATGGCAAAGCCTTCCTCTCCGGTTTATCTTGCCAGGGACATTTTCAACATCCAGTGGGTACCCACACGTGAGCTGCGGCTCTTAGTGGCGTAATTCGATGGCGTCTGATCCACACAATAGTATGTGCAAAAGATGCTTGTGGTTATTGGGACTATCAGAAGAATCATAGATAGCGGTGTTTTAGTGGGTGTGAGCTGCGACTTGTACTTTGATTCGAATCTCCCTTGCTGACTTTACATTAGGAGGTCGATGTTGTAGGATATGTTTTTTATGTTTTTCTGCTGTTGGTTTTTTTGTCTTGTTGATAGTTGTTTTGTCTCTTTTTTTTTTTTTTTTTTTTTGGGGATGTTCCGGATTGGCTTTATCCTTTGGTTCATTTGAGCTTAGCTCAAATTGATCACTAGTCTTTTTTATGTAATTGTTTTACTTGTGTTGAATAAAATCGACTTTTTCTTTGAAAAAAAAATCAAAAGAAATTGAAGGTATGAATGAGTTTAGTGCACCTGGAAAAAGGTGGAGAGAATCACTCAAAAAGAGAGTAAAAGAAAACGCTGGAGGCAGAAACTAGAACAAAAGTCGCTGGCGCATCTCTTAAGCCTTCCAATTCTGATTGAGATGGAACATGACGGATGGATACAAAAATCTCGGACCAAAGTAATCGACAATGAGATATGATATACTACCTCCTGTTCTCACTATAAGACTTATTTAACTAATTTAGAGAGATTAAAAAACTTAGTTAAATTAATTATTTGTAATGAATAGGTATTTTTTTTCTAAAATATCCTTGTTAATCAAGTTTGTTATCTAGAACTATCATTATTAAAGGACTATCTTGAAAAAATAAATAAATATGAGAGATAAAGTAGATGAGGTATTATATTTAGAACCAAAATAAAATTAAACAAGGTCTTATATTAAGGACCGGAGGTAGTATTTATTATTATGATTAATATAATTTTAGTCTCTTAAATTTGTCTTCATTTTGATTTTGGTTTCTCAAATTTTTTTTCATTTAAAATATTAGCTTATATAATCCAATAAAAACTTAGATTATTTTACTTTTTGAGGTATCAAAACCTAAGGGATCAAAAGTTAAATGAGGGCAAACTTAGAGAATCAAAAGTTCTATTAACCATTAATATTATTATTATTTGTTCAAGGATATAAATATTATTTTCTATTTAATATATATTTTGGGAGCATGATCATACACGATGAATTGGATTTATGGGTGACCTCTACGAGGCGCTGGAGAACGAATAATCATGCTCACGTTGGTTGTCACAGATTATACATTGAAGCTCATAAAAAAAAATGAGACACCTCTTAATTAGCAATTCCCAAACTATACAATTTCTTCTTATATATTTGCTTCTTCCTATTCTTAATATAAGACTTAGTTAAGTACATTATTTAATTTTAACTATAAAGCCTCAATTTGTCTTATCTTTCAGAATTTTATTTTTCTTCCCAAATTATCTTGATGGTTCATTTTAAACAAGATTTTTATTAACAGAGTTGTTTCAATGTAAATAATCAAAAACATATTTTTTTAAATTAATTTTCTTAATGTCCGAAAATAAGTGGTCCAAATTTTATATTTAGGAGTTACTATTATATCAGGTGGCATGCCACCCATTGATATTTGTTTATTGAGGATGTGGCTGGTACTACAACATCCTTCCTCAGTTTCAGATGGCAATGAATTATTAATCACAAAAAAATAGAATAGCCCGATTTTCTACTGATTTTTTTTTTGCTAAACACAAATATCCTGTAATTAGAGGTAATTATATTCGAAATACAATCAAATATTAAATATGAGCACATCTCCTAATAAAAATTTGAATTTTGTTTCTTCATATTGTAACAGTCAATTCCCTATTTTAGATACATGATTCAAGTTCTGAAAATTAGGGCCACTATTTGTTCTGTACTTGCAAAACCCGATTTTCACGCCGATAATAATTGGTCTTATCCATTTTTTAAGAAACTAAAGGCCAATCTTCCCTCTTCATTCTCTTTACGTCGCTTACAAGAAATTAAGAGGCAGATGACAGCTCATGAATATTATTATATAGTTTATTTTTTTTACTAAAACATATGCGTCCTCCTATTGGAAGTAATCCTATTTGAGGCATTGTCGGGCACTGAATGTGGGTACTTCTCCCAACAGGGATTCGAATCTTGGTTCACCACGTTGTGGGAAACTAGCTCATTCCACCAGACCCAATCCCGTTGGTAATAATATAGTTTATGTTCATTGTTCTCAACTCTCAAGTTTACGCCATAACTTTAGCATGCCAAAAATTTTCTCCTTATAATCCATAAGTCACACCACAATAATTAGCCCATGATATTAAAACCCACCTCAAATAATAAATTTTCCCGTTGGGGAAAAAAAAAAAAAGAGGGTGGGGAAGAAACAATATGGGCAAGTGATTAATTAATGTTACTAATTGCCACCTGTTCACATGCCATATTGAGTTGGCGAATCATGTAAAATTGAGTTTATTAACAATTCATATTTTGATATTCTGTCATAATTTCAATTTCAATTTAACACAGTTAGTCTCTTACATTAATTATTAACGTCTAACTAATATTTTACAAAGTAAAATAAGGAATGTTATAAACCATTCATCATATGAGAATGATTAATCAGAATGTCAACTCAACTACGTGCCCACTTCGTATATATGAATTACTATTTCTTTACTTCCTATTAATTCATAACCTATTATCACTATCATCTTTATTTTCATATATAATTAATTAATTACTGACTCTGGATTAATTAACATATCAGCTTGTCATTCAAGAAGAATGACTTTAGCATATATAATTTCTTTTTCCCTTTTCAGTTCAACTATATATATGTGTTCTGTGTGCAAGCCACCTTGTGTTTATATGTGCATTATCTTATTCAATTTCTAATAACATTATCTGTATCATCACTATTATTTTTCCATATAATTTATATAAAAATTAACGTGGTGCTGGTGCTCAATCAATATATATAGTCATTTAAAGTGGAATACTTCAACGTATATATAAGTTTTGACTTTGGAATTATTGCTAACAATTATAATTATAATATAATTTTAGATCTACAAAATATGAAATTTCAGCCAGAAACTTATTAGTAGCTAGCTAGCTAATGGAGTCTGGAATTGTGGCCTGCAATGATCAGCAGTAGTGTCGAATTTTGTCGAAGAAGTTAAATTAAACCCACCAGTCTAACCCTAAAAGAAATTAATTAGGATTAAAGAAAAAAAAGGTTCAAAAGAAGACCAGCAAGAGTTTAATATAGGAGATGACAAAACGTAATGTTATTATATCATCGGTGAGAACCAATGGTTGAATGATTTAAGTTTAAAAAGGGTGGTTAATTAATTAATTAATTAACATAAACTCTCTTATATACCCATGTGAGGATCCTACATAGGTAGGTCCCACTAGCCCATTGGAAGGACGGCCCAATTAGCCACCAACACATGCATTATTCTCAAAGCACCTAAATGCTTCACGCAACTAATCTTCCCCCTTTTCTTTAACAAAATCAAAATAGATAGAATGCATCAATTTGATCAATATTCCTTGCTCGCTACAATCTATTTGCTTTTTATATTTAGCTATTTTTATTAAGATAGTCTTCATATAGTTACACATATTAAATTTTTTATCAAATAGTAATTCTAGTTAATACACACAATTAACAATGTTATTTTAGGAAAAACGATACTATTTATTAAAACCAATAATTTAAATAATTTTCTTAGTATACTCGAATTAGTCAACTAGTTATTATAATAAATACAAAGCTAGTATATAATATCATGGTGGTAAGACGCTACTTTGGCAATAAATAAATCCTCTTACAGTGGCTTGTATCAGCCTCATCTTATACACTCACGAGAGAGCCAGACTGTCTGTGTACTGAAGCAGACTTTGGATATATATAAAATACTCAATTTCCTAAATCATCTCCAACTATTGAGTTTTGACTCCTGAATTGATTTGTCATTACATGTTACCTTGTGGAACTATAAATAGAGGGCACACGCAGAATCCTGATGAAGCATCACCAACACAGAAGAATAAAAGGCAGCCGGCAGCCATGGAAGCTCCAAGGTTGGTTGTGGTATTGTCTTGTCTCTTGCTGCTGCTAAGTGGACGTTGCTCGGCTCAGCTAAGGAAGGGATTCTACAGCAAAACATGCCCTAATCTCGAGAAGTATGTTCGTTCTGCTGTATCAACCAAGTTCCAGCAGACCTTCGTCACTGCTCCTGGCACTCTCAGACTCTTCTTCCACGACTGCTTCGTTCGGGTCTGTTATAGATGCATACATACATAGATCATTCATCTTTTAATTAGTTTTTTATATATATACTGACGAATATATACTTATATATACACACACGAAAACAGGGATGTGATGCATCGGTGTTGCTGGGGCATAAGAACGCAGAGAAGGATCATCCAGATGATATATCTCTCGCCGGAGATGGGTTCGACACCGTCGTCAAAGCCAAGGCTGCCGTCGACAGGGATCCACAGTGCCGTAACAAAGTTTCATGTGCCGACATTCTTGCTCTCGCTACAAGGGATGTCGTCAACTTGGTATTGATCTCTCTCTCTCTTCTTTATATATTTAACCCTCTCTTCTTTATATGTTTAACCCTACCCCACTTATAGCTTCATTTTAATTAGTTTAATCTCTTATAAATCAGAGTCCTGCCATCCTTATATATAGTTATTTTTACCCAAAAAAAAAAAACGAACCAATGTTTATCCATTCATGTGCCTGCGCACGTCAACTTACCTGCTGAAAGTGAAAGTTTCTTATCACAAATTTGTACGGAGTAAGTTTTAATATTGTTCATCCTCCTTACACCCTTATATATTTGCTGTCACATGAGTAACACCAGTTTGAAATTCCAAACTGTACTTCCAGAAAAGACAATCAAGTCTTTCGAGAGAGAAAAAAGCATGTGAAACCACAAAACTACTTTCATTATCCAATATAAGAGCTAGTTAATTAATTTGAGTAGATTAAAAAAATTTATTAAATTAATTATTTATTTAAATATGTATTATCTTTCTTAGAATAACCTTACTAATAATATGTATTAACTAAAATTATCATTTAATAAAATCTTTGACATGTTCAATTAGTACAATGACGACTTTAAAAAAAAAAGACAAATATGAGAGACAATGTAGCTGGAAGTCTTATATTTAAAACCAAATCGAATGTTAAACTATCTCTTATATTAAGTATTGTATAATTTAAATTTGTACATATACCAAAGCAGACATTAAAAAAAATGTAATGGGAAATACAAACAAACAAACAAATGAGAGCTGCTCGTGAGCCACATGCCTACGACTTCCAAGCTTTAGTTGTTTTGTTTGATACTGTTTCCTGGAATCTAATACACACACACACACACACACATAATGGTGCAGGCTGGGGGGCCCTTCTATGAAGTAGAACTGGGAAGGCGTGATGGAAGGATATCCACAATCGCCAGTGTTCAACACAGTCTTCCTCAACCTTTTCACAATTTGAATCAGTTGAACTCTCATTTCTCCAGGCGTGGCCTATCTCAGACTGATCTCGTCGCATTATCAGGAGCTCACACATTAGGATTTTCTCACTGCAGTAAATTCTCCAACAGGATCTACAACTTCAGCCCCAGGAACAGAATAGACCCATCCTTGAATCTTCAATACGCTTTTCAACTCAGGAACATGTGTCCCTCGAAGGTTGACCCTAGGATCGCCATTAATATGGACCCTGTTACTCCCCAGAAATTTGATAACCAGTACTTCAAGAATCTTCAGAACGGGATGGGTCTCTTCACTTCTGACCAAGTTCTCTTCACTGATGGAAGATCTAGGGCTACTGTTAACTTGTTTGCTTCTAATGAAGCTGCTTTTAACTCTGCTTTCGTTTCTGCTATGACCAAGTTGGGAAGGGTTGGAGTTAAAACTGGAAGGCAGGGTGAAATTAGGGTTGATTGCAGCAGAGTGAACTAGAAGTAGAGAAGGTGCAATCGTGCTATTTAATCGAAATTTTTTTTTTCCGTTCTGGGTTTGATAGGTTTTTTTCTGGTGCATTTTGTAATAACCACAATTCTTCATGATCTCAAGTGTTGTGAAGAAATTGGTTGAGAAATAAGATATCATATGTTGGTTCTTTTAGTCTAGAGAATAAAATTTTAAAGTGAAATTTGTTTTGTTTCGGTAAAATTACATAAGATTACATGGACGTTCTTTTTATTTTTAAAATACATATTTACATTTTAAAAAAATTAGGAATATTCTATTAAAAGTTCCAAAATACTCCTTTTTTATTTGTAATTATATTAAAAAATTTTAAATTTAAATAAGCATAAATTATATTGACTAACTCATCTCTTATCATATTGAAGGAAGAATTGGACAAAAAGAATATGAAAAATACTAAATCTCAAATCAGTCTTTATTCATATACCTTAATAATAGGTTTAAATTACACTTGATAAGAACATAATAACACATGTTTATAAGAATTCCTAATTTAAATTAGTATTTATCAGGATTTTTTATGAGATTTTCGTTATATTCAATCTCTATCTTTTTATGAAAAATATTGAATTTCTAATTCATTAATTTTTTAACATACGTGTTTAAAATATTATTTTATCCAATTTATATATTTAAATTTTAAAAATTAAAAAAGGAATAAGTTTACACACCTAAAAATTTAAACTATAAATAAAAAGTAAAATATATGTGCATTATTTTTTGGGTAACCTAAATAATTTCTAAAGCTATTTTGGTTTGATTATTATGATTTAACCATCAATTAGATGAATGGAAATAAGATCTTGAAAGTAGATGAGACGTTTGTATTATATAAATATTGATTTAAAGAAAGATTTATATGAGTTCTAAATATAATGGAGTATAGTAATTAAGATGAAATAGAGAGGAAACTATAGTGTATTTTACTATTAATTTTAATGTCTTTTTTATTTCTTCTAAATGCAAGTCATTTTTAAACCCTTCATCGAATTATATAAATAATATCTTTTTGGTGCAATAATTTAAATAATTAGTAAATAATCCAATAAGTGCATGAGTATGGGGTGACTTTCCTTTTCTTTTCTTTTCTTTTGCCAACTGGGGGGACTTTCCAATAGTTAGATTTTTTAAAATTTATATCATAACTATATATAACCATAGATGCTATGATTTGAATTTATAGTTCACGAATGAAATTTTTGAAAAAAAAAAAAAAGGTGGGAAAGCACAGGCATTGACTTGGTAAAAATGGGGGATTAAAAAGCACGCAACAGAACAGAGTCACGTCAATGGTTTGGTGCAGATGGGAATATGACATTATAACAGGGTTGTTGTTTCCGACAACTTTAACTATTTGCTTTCTCCGCTCAGCTTTTGTCCACCCCTCCTTCTCCAAGTACTACTTCCCTTCAACATTTCTCACATCATCTTTTTGACCTCTCCATTCAAAAACCAGAGTATTGTTTGTTATATTATGCATTAACTTGCAGCTGCACAACAACAACAGAGGATCTCTGTTCTTCATCAATACCGCTGTCCCGATCAGATCATAATTCGCAACATTCTTCCAAAACTCCTTACTAAACTCGAAACCAAGTAACCAGTTTTTGTGTAAAAGCAAAAAAAAATGATGCATTTTGTGACTGAGTGGCTTTGATATAAAAGTGAATAGCTCAGTGACAATCTCCTTTCAGGCTACCACAGTATAATTACTGCATATCAGGATTAGTGTTGCAACCCCACTTCAATTCAGTGCAGTTTGAGACATATTCTTTGAGAAATCTTCGTATATTTGATATTCAAACTCTGCAAATATCATTGGATTGAAGAAGAAAATGACAAATGCTATTCATCATCACTAATTATATACTGAAATGGAACAGAAGATGGGGGTGGTCTGGTAGACAAAGTCCATTTATTCATATAAAGTAAGAACTGATCTAGCAAACATAATTCATGAACCATAGAAAATCAGTTAGTCCATTAAACTAAAAACTTCTATCTAAGCTTTAAACCTTGAGAAAGCCAATGTGACTCCTTTCTTTCCTGTTCAAATGTGACGCTAGAGCTGCTCATTGGGGTAGTGGGATCACTGCATTCTCCTATTCTATCTGATTTAAAAGAGCCACAGAGGTTCAGCTTCCTGGTTAACTCAAGCACATGAGGTTTCGCATTCCTCTTCTTCTTTGTCTCATTGCCTCCACCGATACTTAGTGTCAAGTCCAATTCTACTTCTTCATCAGTGTAGGAACTAGGGCCCGCTTCGCCTTCATCCAAGGTGCCTTCTTCAGCAGGCATTTCAAGATCAAAACCTCTTGCTTTTTTGATGATTATGTCTTCTGCTGAGCAGCTTCCAGTACTCCTATCCCTTGAACACATATCGTCTTTGAAACTTTGGGCCTGGAAATCTGTAGCTCCATTTGGATTTTTTGTTGTTTCAGGTTGGTTCTTACCTTCTCCATCGATGGGGTTCCATAGTTTCTTCTGTTTGATTTCCTTCTTCAGCTCATCCATCAGCAACTTTTGCACTCTGTATACTCTGTGTAGTTCCTCAACCTGCATTTTTATGGAATCTTTTTGTTAGACATTATTTATCAAAGTTATCCATAGGCCTTCATTTGACAGTTTCACCTCTTTAGACTGAACTCATTTTTGAAAAGATATCACTATATCAGAAGGTACGATGGACCTCTGCCTTTTGGCCCTGACATATCGCTTAGCAGCTAAACAGACTATTAGAGATTCTCAACGTCTAGATGGGTGAGACTTCAGACTGAGACTATCATCTCAGACGAATCCAAATTATAATTATAATATTCATAATTGTTACAACTAAAAGAATCAAACATTTGACAGAAGCATTTTGACTTACAGAGAGGCTGCTTGGATTTAGACCATTGAATAAGCACGCAACTTAATTAAAGAATGATAAAAGGCAATGAATGAAAGAAAGAAGCATATCAGATAGACTGATCCTGACATCATTTTGGTACAAGTATCATGAAAGGTAACATAAAAGAAAGCCTCAAAACTAACAATTAAAAGAAACAAAAAGTTAAATAAGACATTTGCTTGACTCAATGACTGTGTATGATTTCCAGGATACCTGGTGTTTGAAGATGTCTTCATGCATCTGCATTGTCTTTCTGATGAATTCCAGGTTGTTTCTGTCAACCATTCTTTCCATAGGAAATTTGAGGTTCTTGGTTCCAATTTGGTCAACCTTATTGCTCAACCCGTTGTTCTGATAATTTTCCCACACATCCACACTCTTCGCACTCAAATTCTTGCTGTCTACTGAGGTTGCTGCTAGAAGATTTACAGAATATTCAACTTTGGTCCCCATGCCTGAATAATAAAATGCAGAGTTGTTAAGCTCTTTCCCAACATCATCACACTTTGAGCTGTGCACTTTTTGTTGCCCCAGCGATTGAAAAGAAAATATTTACTTTTATGGTACAAGCGCTTGAAAAAGTGAAGTAGATTAGAAAACCAAACCAAAACAACCCTCCTTTCTCTGTTTTTCATGTTACACTCAATGGGGTTATCATCTCGAAAATCTAAAATGTGAAACGTGAGAACAAACTTTAGTTAACCAAAAGTTTAAAGCCTAATCAAAACTCAAAACTCAAATCCCAGGAATATTAGGACCCAAAACTAGCCAACAGACAATTAGGCTTATGTATCCGTTTCATCGTACTGTCTGTGATAGCCGTGTCTTGTATGTTTCTTTGACGAGTAACAAGAAGAAACTAGAAATAATAGCACATGTTGAAAGTTGAAACTTGAGTCCTGAGAATAGGTCATGATTAGGTTTGCGTCTTTAGCTTATCCTTGATTCAGCTAAAAAAGGAAATGATACTAGTTTATCCCGTGAATGATTATCCAAAAGTGAAGGAGGAGGGAACAAAAAGAATTGGCATTGAAACATTCAAAAGGGTAATCAAACATTGCTGGGGTCACAGAAGAAACAAGGAATCTGGCCGTTAGGCATAGCCAAAATAGTAGCCTTCAGCTCCTACTCCTAGAAGCTAGCCTCACATATTCAAAACCAAAAAAAAAAAAAATCCCACTTCTTGTTCCTTATATAAGCTTAAACCTTTAAGCCTCTACACACCTCCGCTGAAGACACTCAAACAGAGACTGAATAAACATCACACGGCAAGAAAGAATTACAGCATGAAGCTTTCACAGTTATGGGAAGAAGTTATAATACACAAACACAACACACCTGAGATAAGAAGCACCAGAATTGGAGGTTTCTGTGATGAATCTCATTGAACATGCTGCTGCTTGAAGGGAATACTTTTACCCATAAGTCACAGTTTTGTTAACAGAACCAAGCTTATACATAGTGAGAGAAGGAGAAACAGGGGAGTTATAAGTTATAAGCTATTCTGTGAGGGTTGTGGAAGAATCAGTAGTGAGAGAAGGACGGATTATTCTAAGAAGTGCATGAATGAAGGCCACCTGATGATGATGGAGTCCTGAGAAGGAAAGCTCAGAGACAGCGGAAAATCTCTTGGCAGGTCAATACCATTCCATTGTTTACTTGTAAACAAGAAAGCCACCAGCTCTAATTAAAAAGAAGCAAAAACAGAGAATCGTGGGTTTAATAATTCAGGCTTGACAGGCTGTGAGAGGAGGAGGAGGAGGAGGAGGAGGCAGGCAAGAAAAGAGGAAAAACATTTTTATAAAAAAAAAAAAAAAACTTAAAAAGGCCGAAGGAGCAATGTGTCTGTATGTGAATGAACAAGTGCCTCTTACCTGTGTCATATTTAGAGAGAGAAAGAGACAGACGGATATATATATATATATATAGTATCCGTATAGGTGATATTGTTTTTTTTTTTCCTTTTTTTTTTTTGTATATACTTGTGCTTCCCTGTAATGTTTGGGAAAGCCAGGGGACCACAGAGTTTTAACTTTTATGTGTTTTTTTTTTTTTTCATTTTTGGCAAACACAGTTATAATTGACACAAAGGATAGTTTACAAAATGTTGGGGGAATACTACCTGCTCTTAGAAACATTTAAACCATAGAAGTTTTTCCCTCTCCTGAAAATATACATGGGTACTTCCAAAAAAAATATAATTACAGTATTTTTAAATGATATTTTTTATTGAAAACATTAACTTCGTATTGACTAATCAATTATAATTACCGTAGTAAAGAGTACATTTTCAAAAGAATGAAAAAAAATTGAGATCATCTAAAATGTTTTTATTTTTAAAACATATATGAAAACTAAACATATCTTAAAATGAAATGTTCTTCTATAATTTGGTGTTGAGAAATTAAAATTGGATACTACATAAATGAAGTTAAACTTGAATGTTTAAATTGAATAATTGAATAACATCCTCTTGGTTTTAGTGGGAAGAATTTTGACTGTTTACTATTGAGTTCCATTTTGTATGAATGCAGAAAATGTTTTTAAAAGAGTTATTCCTAATTAGATCCAACAATATTGAAATTTGATCTAGTCATATAGTATATAAAAAAAATTGAATAATTGAATAATATTATTGTATATTATAGAATAATTCATGTAAGAGGAGATCCTAATTTTTGTTTTTTGGGGCTTGGCGAGTGGCAAGGCATTCCAGACATAGGGTGTGTTTGGGTGACACTCCAAACCATGGTTTGGGGAATAATCTACCCAAACACCCCCTCCAAAAACCAAAACCATGGTTTTGGAAAAAGCAAAATTTTTTTGCTTTTGGAGAAAAAAGGGAGAGTGTGAGGGCTTATATGATATGTATCTTGTTATTTTTTTTATAAACATATTTTTTTATAAATATATTTAATCTTATATTTTATAAATATATATAAACATTAATTATTTATTAATTATATTATCTTATGTATTATTAATTATGTTGGTAAAAAACATATTATTAGCAATTTTATTCCTTCAAATTAAAATATATTATAAAATCTATTTTTTCTGTAATTATCATATTAACTTATGTCTTTTTTTTAGTAATTTGTATATATAAAAAGTGCTTCTGATAACAACTATCCAAACACTCTCACTTCTCAAAATCACTTTTTTACAAAATCTATTCTTCACAGAATCTATTTTTCTCAGAATCTATTCTCCAGAATCACTTTTCCAAACCACGGTTTGGTTTCATCCAAACACACCCATAGTCATTGTCCAACAACTAAACATCATCAAAATTCAACAATCAGACAAATTTACGTTATCCAATTCCAATAGCTTTCTCTCTGTTTTTATTTTTTATTTTCATTTTTCTTTCTTTCATTAACTTCAACCTCTGGGATTTGATTATTCTTTTCCGTACATGTGATTTCGTCTAAAATTTAATGAATTAATGTCTAATCAAATTCTAATTAACTAATTCAGAACTAAATCCAGATCTCATTGGGATTCCCCATCATCACCTTTTTTCTCGAACCTTGTGATTTTTCATGTTGACTACTTCCTCTTCTATTTTATCAAGATTTTGCATGTCTCCTTCTCTTCTTCTCCTAGAATTATTATTATTATTATTATTATTATTATTACCTCCGATCTTAATTATGAGATTTTGTTTATAGATCACAAATAAAATCTTATAATTAGAACTAAAGAAAGTACTCCTCCGGTCCTTAATATAGGATCCAATTCTTGAGTTGGTTTTCGTCCTAAATATAAGACCCATTTATCATATTTATCAATTTTCTCTAAATTATCCCTATAGATACTCCCTCAACCATAATCAAATAGAAGAGGGAGATGAGGTATTAAAAAAGATGATTATGGTGTTTTAGGAAAAATGTGTCACTTTTTTTTATAATTAACTAACTTACCTAACTTTCTTAATCTAATCAAATTAGTTAAATGGGTCTTACATTAAGGACCGGAGGAGTATTATTTATTTTCTTATCAATATCATTCAAGTAAATATACGTTTCACAAAAGGCTCATCTAGGAATCAAAGAATGTGCATATATCTATGAGACAGCTGGAAAAAAAAAGTAAGAAAAAGATAGATTGGTCAAATGATGATTAGATTTAGATGCATCGAATATAAAATTGATGAACTAGACATTAATGATAAAGAAAGGTTCACAATTTGATTTGATGATAATTAAATAAAATTTTGATCTAATCAAGCATTTGCTATAAAAGCCCCTAATATTTTCTAACTTCCTTATTAATAAGCCCCTAAAAAGTCCATCTCATGACAAATTAAATTTTCTAACTTCCTTATAAGTAAAAATTAGAAAAAGCAAAAAAAGGAAAAAGAAAATCACGATCATAATTTTGCCATAAAAGCCAAAGTGCAATAAAGAGCTCAGACTAGAAATAACTCATTGAAAGCTTTCAAGAATGAGGAATCCCGAATCCGACATGTTGACCCGCAAATATCTGAACTCCACGAATAATAATTTATGTTTCTGATCATTCTTAAATAATGCCCATAATATTTCTACTCTGTAGGTTTCATATTATTTGTCATAGAAATATTGCTTCTTCTTTTTTATATTCCATAATACTTTTCAATTTAGCTGGTAAAAAAAATATTTTTCATCTATTCAAAATTCCAAAAATATAATTTTTTTTTCTTAATCTCTATAAAAAAAAATTTTCGCACAGAAAATATAAAAATGGAGATTGTATTATTTTATTAAAGAAAAATTTAAACTGCGCGGTTTTTGGTACACATACTTTGCTTACTTTCATCGTACATGTGAGTACATGTGAGTATATGCATAGGCCCTAATCCTGGTTCTATTGTGTCTAAATACAAAACTGCTCCCTCTGTTCTTTTTATAAAGAATAAAAGCGTTGTCATAAGAAATAATTTACTTTTATCTAACAAAATTATTGTTTATTTCTGATTATACTTTATTAAAAAGAATTAATAAATGAACTACTTTAGTAAAATTTCATGAGGGTATTTTTGAAAAAAAAACACATTCTGTCCATCCATCAGCACATTTAAATGTTTAGCTAAATTAACCTACTTTTCTTAATATTAAGAAAATAGGTATTTATTCTTTTAAAAGAATAACAGAGGTCCTATATATTAAAAAAGGACAAAATGAACACAGAGAAAAAATAGACATGGTACCAAAATTGTGTCATTCAGAATTGTCGCGCGCTTTTGTTTCCTACAACAATTGGTGCAGTGAAATAGTAAGGAAAGGATAAATAAATAAATAATGCCCATTAATTTTGATTAATAAGATAATAGGCTTAGCTTGAGTTACAAGTTTTTCGCTTGAGGGAATATTAATTAGTCAAAATTCAAAGACATAAGAGATCATGGCCATACATAGAGTCTTGTAAATGAGTGAAACCCCTGTTTGTTTAATTTGCTATATTTAAAAACTCACAAATGGGGTTTGATTTATCGAAATAAATTAAGTGTTACAAGCCTGTCAAAGTTGGAGATGGATCATGTGTATGATCTTGGCCTGGGGATTCATGAAGGTTGAGTTAAAATAAAGAAAGAAAAAGAAAGAGAGATAAATTAATTAATTAAGTAATTAATTAATGGGTTAGTCATGTGAGGATTATTGATCCACAAGGGAAGAGAAACTCTTAATTAATTAAATTGTAAAAGTAAGTGTATGCAGAAGATTATATATAGTATCATATATACATAGAGAGATGGGCTATTACCAGTTTGTTGGAGGGATTATATATTTGATGATATTCCCTATGTGATTATATTGTCTGTTTCCTAATCCCATTTATTAACTTATTATTATTTAGATTTCAGAGACACAGATTCAATTATAGGTATAGAGATACACAATATGTCTAATCCAGGCACATAGACTTGATCAAACCAGTTGTGGGATTCTCTGCTCTAATTCATATTTAGTTGTGAAATCCAAGGATGATATGTGTGTGTTATATATGTTGTTGAATGAAGAATGAAAGTGGGGTTTCATTTAAAGGCATACATTGATTATGATGCTTGCATTCTTAACAATCTTTTCCTGAAATATGAGTTATAAATATTGATTTAAATAATTGTAAATTCAAATGTTTCAATATAAATAATATATTTAACTTTTATGTATAACCGCTTAGAACTAGAACTACCTGAATCCATATTTGGCAACTCTTTTTTTTTTTAAAAAAAAAAACTGTTACTGATTTAATTTTTTAAAAACTTAAATATCATTGCCCCATTCTTAAATCCTCCTCCCTGGTTAGCTCAAAATTAATTTTTTTTATAACCAGTTATCGTGTCGAACTAAGTTTGTGTTGGATTCTTGCCTTACAATTACAAAATGAAGGCCTTGTAAGATTCATGACAGCATTCTGATTATATATTAAAACATCTCATATCTTGTTTATATATGGAAATTGCCCTTGTTCAAATGCATGCACAGGAATATTCAATTTGAATATTCCTTTACAAATTGAGTATAAAAGAGCACAGATCCCCCCCCCCAAAAAAAGAGAAATCTATGACTAAATGATACATGCCTTAACAAATAATATATGCTTTGTTAATGACAAACAATTTTGTTCCTATGTGATATACAAATTTCATTAACATTTGCTTGAGTAGTAATACAATTCAGCATTAAATTAAACTTTTGAGAATATTTCGGTCATGTATAAAAAATTACTTTTATTGAAAGTCTAATAATAAAAAAAACTACTTACAAATCTAGTCTAGTCTTTTATTATTA